ATTTAAATGCACTTTCAGTGCTTCCATTGATGGGGTTAAAAAATTCATTCATTATTCCACTGTGTATGCTAACCTTGCCATGCAATAACTAAGGTATGTTAATGCACTTTAAATCTATTTTTAACTGCCATGTATAATACATTTATCATTACAATTGGTTCCCAGAAACAGAAATTACTTAGGATTCAACTTAATACACATTTACAACTGAAATGAATTCAATCCACATCAAGTACTTTTGACTTTATTCCATACTAAGCTATGTAAATATCAATTTGACTCCTCACTATTAAGTAATGGTTAACAAGCTTATCTCAGTCATTACTGAAATGGTTATATATTTTCCTACTGGAACCAGAGATTAATTGTTTGATTTTTTTTTATGGGTCATCAACCCTTTATTGGTTATTTAAAATTGTGGTGATTCTCACATTTCTTTTAATCCATTGTGTATGCTGCCACTGCTGTGCAAAAAACTAAGGTATGTTAGTGTACTCCAAATCAATTCTTAACTGCCCAGTAGCCAGGAAAATATAATTATCATTACAATTGATTCCCCCCACCAAAAAAAAAAAAAAAAAAAAAAGGAAATTACTTATGGCTCAACCTAATGCATTAAATAGGAAAGCACATAGATGTTAGTCTTAACATGGATTTTTAACTGATATTTCTTTCCTCTTATTTTTGTTGTTTTTATTGCAAATCTCAGACTGTCTTTCTACAATAATTATTTTAAATAATGACAATATGAAAGTTACAGCCACAGCTTTACCATGTTAAGTGTTGCTGCTGTGGTTTCTGTAGCAAGTAGGTTTTTACAGAGTGGAGTTGCTACCCCATGCCCAACTAGTTTTGAATTTAGAGTTGCCTCTCTCACAGGCTAGTTGCCAACCAAACCAAGAGCACCGAGTCTGACCTACTATTAACATCTAGCTGCAATAGAAGAGATGGATTCATGCTTTTCAATAGCTTCAGGTAGAATTTGAGCCTGACATGCTAATTCCACTTCTTTTGCTAACAAACTACACTCACACACAATTGATCATGCTTCATTTAATTCAAATAATATTACAATTTAAGAGTATTGCTAAAACTGTCAGCCAAGACTAAATTAGTTAAAAATGTTAACATAAAAAAAAGCAACAGATATTCAGTTCCTGACCAGTCTCCAAAATGGATTGAACAATATCAATTGACTTGTACAACTGAACCTTGCTAGCCATCTGCTGCAAGAGTTTTGAACTTATTTCTTTCACTGCATCATTCTTTGAAGCAGGAATGCCTTGCTTACAGAATCACTGATAATGTCTGAAGTCTTATACTACTACTAAATTAAAAAAAAAAAAGAAGAGAGAATGGAACCATTGTACTTTTATACCCTCACCCCACAAAATACTCTACATTTACTTTTCACGCATTAAAATTTGCATTATGATATTTAAATTGAACTTAGGTTTTTAACCAAGAAAAATCAACATCAATGAAAAGGTTTTCAATCTTACTTATTATAAAACGCAGATTGTGTGTGTGTGTGTGTGTGTGTCTGTACGTTTATATATTGGATCAGATTTCCTATATTTTTCAACCGATTTCAACAAAACTTCACAGTACTGCGTAAAATTACGTTGTGGTGGTTCTGACAGCGCCAAAAATGGGAAAAACACAATTGTTTTTGCACAAAATCAATTTGAAAACACGATAAGAGGCATCGCTGTCGCGAAAATGAAAGGGGGGCAACTCATATCGAGTTATACTTATTATAATACCCATGTTGTTTGTTTGTGTGTGTGTGTTCGTTTATATATGGGATCAGATTTCCTACATTTTTCAACCGATTTCAACAAAACTCCACTTTTTTTGGCAGGTAGTGTTTCTTATTGTCTTGCACACTTTTTTCTTTATTTTTACATTCAGAATGCTTTAAAAATTCCATTTACAAGACAATTGTTTATAATAAAATTCTATTCAAACGGTAGACTCATAACGATTGAAAACAATGTTTTTGTTCGAGTTTGACCAATTCGTAAAAAAAAAAAAAAAAACTAATTAAGACATGCGTGTCCATCAACATCCCCAGGCAACGCCGGGCTCTACTGCTAGTTTAGTATAAATTCGAGAACCAATAATATAAACCGGAAATAAATTTGTGGCAATTTGATGCCAAAAATGATATTTTACATCTTTGAATCTTTCATTCATTCCACATAAACTCTGCAAAGTAATCATATATTCAGTGATGGACAATGCTACTATTTAATTTTCATAATGAATAAATAACATTTTCAAAAAGTACATATGGAAAAAAGGGGTGCAGTAAAGATTTTTGTGGAAAATGTGTATTCCTTAGTAATTACTGTATACATGTATTGTACATATTACTGGCAGTAGATAACAAATGTAAATACAGAATGTTATAATTAAATCTATATAAATAAAGCGCAGTGTATGTATGGCCATCAGTTTTTTGATCTTGACAAACCTGAAGTAACACATGATTAAAAATTAAATAACTCATTTAAAGCTAGTTAAATTTAAATATCAGAGTGAAAGGTTTAAAAAAAGCAATTCTTTATTAAAAGTTCAACTTCAATTTCACTTTCAATTGATATAGTCTAATTAAACTGTAAATAAACTTAAGCCGGGCACGATACATTGCTCATGTTTTTTTTTCTTTTTCTAGCACATGTACTGTGACGTATTTGAAATATTACATATATTGGGTTCCCAAATGTCTTAAGAGTGCCTTTATGTGAAGTAATCATAAAGAATGGTGATTTTAAATGAAAATAAAAATTGCGTGCAAAATAAATGTAAACAAACTACAGAGATCTGTTGCATATACAAAGAAAGATTATGCTGAATCAAGGTGTTGAATAAAGATAAAATAATTTTATTGCATAACAACAAAGATGAGGACAATAATCTGAATATAAACAGTGCAAATAATTGGTTGATATTTTTAAATAGTCTACTGCAAAATTTACACATTAACAGATGCTTCAAAAACACAAAGCATTGTATGCAATCCACTATATTAAGAGCAATCATTTGTGTTCACTACATGATTGTGTGAAATTGACAATAATTGCTTCTGCATTGTCCATCTAACAATTCCTTTAAAATGGATAGTAACATGTATGATTCCAAATGATTACAATGGATAGTAACATGTATGATTCCAAATTCTCTTCAGACAGTGAATTTCTTAACCTTGTCTTTATGATCTTTAGCTTTGAAAATGTCCTCTCACATTGGACTTAAGTGCTAAGTGTGCAGATGATTTTATGAAATTTTTAATTCATTTTATTACTAAAACAATTGTTTCTTTATTGCATTTTTATTAGATATAAAAGTGGCCCACTCCACCGAGCAAGCCGGCACCCTGGCCAATCCACCACTGCATATATTGTATTCTCTATGCAAACAAAGATTTGTTGATTTCCACCATGCTTCCAGGCCCACCCAGTTACTAAGGGTGATAACTGAAACATGCAACTAGGAATGGAGCAAAGTATAATAGTGCCAAAAAAGTCAAGTTTAATCTTGAACCCTTTAGAATTTTTCTCTTAAATGTTTTTTTAATCAATTTACCCTAATGCAAGGCAATTATGATACCAAGATGCAAGGGGGCTACTGGGAGTGAAAGAGAATAAAAAGACTTTAGAAGGGACCAGAAATCCGGATCTAAACAAGGGATAAACCTCTACTCCTGTTCAAAAGGTTTCATAAACAAAACAGAAAATGAAGCCATTTTAATCTAAAATTGATCTCCAATGACCTCCAGTTATGTTAGAGGTCAGCACCACCTAGCCTATTTTTTCTGCTTAAGTTACTCTCACATTAACTCCAAAAAATGTATTTGTTTGGTTGCAATATAAAATCATAAAAATTATTGATGAATTCCACTTCCAATGACTCCTTTGACCATGTCAAATTTGAATTTATCTACTCTTACCAATTGTGGGGTCAAAAAACATTTTTGTATTTCCTATAGGACAATGAACTAGAGGAATAAATCATTGGTTAGTAAATTTGGTGGCACAGTAATTGTGAGTTCAATCGCCAAGTTAGGTTGTATAAATAGACTCAGTGGAATCAGGATTAACAATAAGTTATCAGTACTAAAAGGACAATTAACAAAGATGAGATATCCCTAGGCATGGATAGATAACAGTACCCACTGTAGATTGAATAAAGTGTTCAGTTTAAAATTCCATGAAGATTACTCCAGATCAACAGATACTGAAAAAGGCCAGAGGTTACAACCAGCAGCTAGTGCTTGACATTTATAGAATCTGTCTATTAAAACATTTTTTTTGAGTATTGATGAGAGCTTCCTTCCTAACCTTTGTTTGAAGTAGTGTGGAGCATTAACATTTTGATTATGTCATTTTTCTCCTGTGTTATCCAAAGCCTGCAAATGATGTGGTTTCTGTTATTTGGCACAGTTTTTTTTTGTTTGTAGTTCTGTAGTGGCTGTACATGATAATCCTTGCTAAAAGCTACAGGCTTCTTTAATCAGGGTAAATAATGCAAATACATTTTTATACTTTATAACAAACTAAATATCTCCGTCTATTTGGCTAGCAGTGTTATCATATGCTCTTTGATGTCCTCTGGTGACCTTGAATGACCTCAGAGGTCAACCTCACATAGCCTATATAATAATTACTAGATGTCTTGCAACTGTATATACAAAAAACTGGGACCCTATGATTATGTTTGGTCATAATATGCAAACATACAAATGAACACATACCATTATTGTTTGGTGGTGTTCTAAGATTGGCTACAATTTTCTTCATTTTCAATTCTTACAACTATCCATTTTTTTTTTATTTCCAGCAACTTGTCAAAAAACAACCTTTTTTTTTTTAGTGTCAAGCAAAACAGAAAAACTGTTTTTAAATGCTGTTAAATCCATTATGAATCATGACAGGCTTTAATCAGTATTTCAAATGACAAACATAAGTGAAATAATCCTTATATAAATTACTTACATGACTTGGACTATACCTGTTCTGACCTGAAAGAAAAAATAAATGGAATAACTGAAATTCTTGAAAAGATAAAATTGCAATGTGCAACAGTGTAAATCCAGATTATAATATAAAGACAAGAAAGCAAAGTGATGGTGTGAGATTTCTACTGTTGCTGAGAGAGTTTAATATTTCTAATCAGTGCTGGTTGCAAGAGCCTTGTAGCGGAGATGAGTTGCATATTTACAACCAGTGTTGAGAGTGGATCCTGTTGCCAAGAGCTTTGCATATTTTCAACCAATGTTGGCAGGGGAGGGACTCCTCACATGTGGCTGAGAGAGTTGCACATTTTCAACCAGTGTTTGTCAAGAGAGAGATTTTGTCTTATAGCTGAGAGAGTTACATATGTTCATCTGGTATAGGCAACAGAAAAAGGATTCTTTCCTATGGATGAGAGAGTTGCATATTTTCAACCAGTGCTTTTTAGGAGAAGGATGTTGCCCTGTAGCTGAGAGAGTTGCATATTTCCAACCAGCACTTTTTCAGGGTCACTATCAGTTGTCTCATTGTGTACCCCTTAATCTTGACTACATTTCAATGGCAATTTCAATTCAGGACTATGCAGACTGACCTGGGTGATGCAATGCTCAAGACAAGAATCTAGTCACTCAACCACTGCTAACTCTATAGCATATCACTGGTGAGTGAGTAACATAAGAGGAGCATGTGTGGTCAGACAAGCACAGTAAAGTTATTTTTGATTGGTTATAAAGTTATATCAAGGCCATGCAATTGGTTCATATATTCAAAAGAGTTGGATACATTCCAGGTTGACCTTCTATACACTGTTACCTCAAAATATAACCACCAGCAATATGTTGTAAAACTATCAGAGGTAAACAAGTAAGCCAGCCTTGAGTACTTTGTTTTTGAAGTGCTGAATGTCACAGTCCTGGTCAGAAAGAAATCTGACTGACTTTCAGTGCATTTTCAGAATGGCATGGCTCCTAGATTGCTAATTTAAAAAAAAAATGTCAACAATGATAGTATGTCCAACATTTTACTGCATGAGACATATAACAGGGTGAGAACCCTGGTCCAATGATTTACTGCATAAGAATGGCTAATGAAAATTTGAAGCAGAAAATAAAACTGAAAAAACTCAGGAAATTAATAAATTTTCATTGATGAGAACAAGTAAAGAAAGAACAGATTAAAAATAATTACAAGCCATAAAATGAGTGTGGAAAAGGGTCTAGGAAAATTTAAACCTGAAATAAATGAAGTAGAATTCATTAACATTTTGTAAGACTAGATCTTTCCCAACCAACACAATTGTCAATTGGGCAGTATGACAAGATTTATGGCCTTCTAAAATTTCACAAAATCCAAAAGAAGAGTTCTTGCTATGTTTATTTAAAATACTCTCAAACCCCACAAACAGTTATCTCATTACCAAAAATTCAATGTCAAGAGCTTGACTTGACCACATTAAATTTTTTTTTAGACAAAGGGCATGAATATTTTACTGAAAACATGCAATACATAAATGAGAGAGAAGGTGCAATAGAGAGGGGCCAAACAGGTTTTATTAGCAATAACTAAGGAGTATTTAATAAGACAAAATATCTTTAGACATGAACAGCAGAATGACTACTCTTGTAGTTTGAATAAATGGTTCAGTTCAAAATTCCATGAAGGCTACCAGGATTGGAAGACACCAGAACAAAGCTTATTCTAAGTTGGTAATCTAACAGCTTAAAATTTAACATTCAAAATTAAGATGGTCATGAATATTATTGTTTTACTTTCCCCTTGTTTTTACCCTTAATGGATGTAAATAATGTCACATTGGGAATATCACCAGAAAATGGATATGCTATGGAAGAAGGAAATGATCTCCCAGTTTGTATTTTACTCATTATGTGCATCATTATATCTATGATATAACTTATTTCAGAGACAGAATGGAATAGCTGAAAGAAAAGAAATGACCAACATATTTTGTTCTCAGAGAGATTTTTATAATGCTAAGTCATACACAAAATTATATATACATATTTACGTTTGTTGCAGAGAAATTATAACACATATATGCAACAACAAGCAATGTGAAGGGAGAGTCTTAGGTATAATTCTCAATGGGAACTGGAGCTGCTAGAGATTTATCTGTGTTTCTGGATAAGCCGTATTTAGGATTCCAGATTTGAGCAAGCTGGAGGAGGCAGATTTAGCCCATGCTAAAAAAAGCAACTGCTTGGTTTAACTACAGGAAACTGACTGTAGGACTGACCACTTTCATCTTGCTATGAAGTGATGCACTAAGTGGCCGTCATGACTTCATCTCAACCAAAAGGAGATGATCACCTTTTGTATACCTACACCCCTTTTAATTTTGATACATTTTTTTTAAACCACTTCATGTTTAGCCATTAGCAATTACCAGAATTGGCACAATCGAGCACAAGGTCAAAGTATGCATTTCCTATTTTCTTATCCTGAAATGATAGCATCCCCCGGCACGTAAGTTCTTAACCTTTTTCTCCCTGTATTGGTTTCACTTGATATCATTATTTGAATATTTGTTTAAGGTAGCCATTTTGTATAAATTTATTTTTATTGCTGTACTTTGTCATGTAGAACATCTTTCAACATATGCTGATGGTTCTCATACTGTAACTTCATGAAACCTTCTACCCTTCTGGGAATTTATCACTGCAAACTACTTGTCACCTCTTTCATCCATTTAAACCTTTGGCTACCTTTGACATATTTCTTCTTTACATTCCTTTTTAACTATTTGTTATTCAGACCAAACTAGTCTGAAGTTTGTATTTATTTCCTTTTTTAGTTTTACCCTTTTGGCTTTCAATAAATTTGCTGATGAACAATCCTGCCTTCAGAGTTTTTATTTGCTATAAAGCATTTATCTGAGAGACAGACTCATGTTGAAAGGCAGGACAAATATAGCAAACTCAAATATTCTAACAATACTCTTTCTTTGTATTAAAAATTTTAAAAAAAGTACCTGATCTCAAATTTCCTTGTCTCGATTTTTCTTCTTTTATTTCTTCACAGGTATCATCCAGATCTTTCCTCAGCTATGTAAAAAAAAAAAAATCCAAATCAGATAATCATTTCAGTAAAAAAGACATTAACAAGAAAATTTCATTAGAATTAAAGAAAAGAATCCTTGCTGAACTGTTATTCAACATCAATCCTCCTATATGGCAGTAAATGCTGAACAATATCCTTGCAGATGATGAGGGAGACTTGAAGCAACAGATATGTAGGTCTACAGGAGAATGCTGGGAATAGCATGAATGGAGCAATGAGGAAGTTTCAAGGAAAATGGAAACAAAAACGACACATGCTTAACATCAGGAAGAGAGTCAGTTGAAATTTCTAGGACACATAACGAGGAAAGAGAGCTTGGAGAATTTGACACTAACAGGACATACTGAAGATAAGAGGTGCAGAGGGAAAGATCACATAACTGACCTAATGAGCTTGTGTAATGTTGCATTCACTGTCGCCCTTCCAACACCAATTCATAAATGGTATCAAAAAAAGATGGTTTCTTTTTCTTATTCATTTTATTAGAGGAGAGGGTCAGATGTGGTAGCATTGATTCTAGGAAAGAGCAGGAAAAAGAACATCAACAGGATACATGCCAACTCATTGGCTTAACAGCCCTTCACATATGGCATTAGTATATCTATCAAACGTGTGTGTTGGAAATGTATTGACGCTTAAACTTTGTAGTTTGGGTTTTATATCCAAAACATAGACAAATGCAATCCATCATCATCAGAATACCATGTCCACAAAGTATTCTGACCAATTGCTGATCATCCTTACCCAGCCTCCACGTTCTGTACGTAGTGAAAGAGATAATCATTTACCCCGAAAAAAAGTTTGTGTGTGTTCCGTATGCGATCTGTCAAAGAAAAATTACAAAAAGTAGTTAGCAAAAATCTACTTCAATGACAAGAATCTATGCTAATGTTCTCCCCTCCCCTGAATGGCGTGACCAATCAGAAAGATCTCTTGATGAATCAAAGCCATTGTTTTTCGCTTATAAAGGCAGAGCTGGTAGGCAGAATACAAATTTTTTGCTCGTGAGACGTGTGACCACATTTTGTCGTTTCTACTTTGTTTGTTGGACTGTTACGACGGGCTAGTGTTTGAACTACGATTTGGCTACAAGTTTTGCGGTCAAGAAACGGAAGAAATCTATTGCAGTTGCTACTATAAGTTGACAGTATTTTCTTTTCTTTACTACAACACTAACAGTAAATAGATGGTAAGACATAGACTGTGAATGATAAGGAGGAACATGCATTACTTAGATTAATGCATGCTCCTCCTTATCACTTGTTACAAAGGATAGGAAGGTATAGAGAGCCATGATTTGCCACATCCTGAAGAAATACAGCACATAAGAATGGCATCTGCAAAATGTTCTCGGAAAGATATTTAAAATGTAGTCAATTCTTTTCATATGTTAAGTTGATCATTACAGGCCACCATATATCAATTTTCAACATAACTTTCCGTGTATTCATTAGACAATCATTTTCTGTGAGTAAAATATTTTCTTTCTTTTTCTGGACTTCAGGCTTATTTTATTTTTCATCATTCTTTTTACCTTGTTCTTTAAATCCATATGCTCTTGCTATCAATTTGGCCTTCTTTTTTTCATATATTGTGACCATTTTGCTTAAAGTTTGTGTTTTTCTTGATTCTAGATGAAAACATTTCAGTGAAATTTTCACTTTCAAAATTATAGCTTCTTATAGTTTTGATATATGGAAAAAAATGTGTCAGTTTAAACTGTTGCCAGGAAGATATGTTCACTGTTAATAGGGCTTCATTTTCTTTTTAATTTTTTTTTTTTAATTCCAACAGAGCTTCCAAGATATGAAAATATCTGGGACGGCCAGTTGTACACAGTTACATGATACTAGCAACAGTAGCAAATTATTACTCTATAAGTAACTACTACAAATTGAATCACTCTATCCCAAAATTACATTAAGTTTGCAAAAATTAATGTTTCATACCTTATCAACAGCCAATCTTTGCTGCTGGCCCACATCTTTGTATGTATCCAACATATGATCAAGCGTCTTCAAATTCCGGGTTGTGTCCTAAAATATATATAATTAAATGAATAAAACAAAAAATAATGTCCTTTTTATCTAATGTTTTCATTTGGGTTAAATCAAGATAAAAAAAAATACATAAATTATCAAACAATTAAATTTCATAAAGATTTATTTTACTAACTTACAAAGACATAATATTTAAGCTGATCAGGTCTAGCAGAAGCCACAGTAAATTCCATATCTATTTTAAAGGACAAGCCAAAAATAGTGTTGGCAAAGTTTTATTAAATTCCATTCCACCAACAAGGTCTGTCTATTCAACATTTTATTATATCTAATTTCCAAACGAGATGTACATCAGGATTGAAGTTATGAATCACCTGTCCAAAAATTGATGATTTTTCTGTTATGTTCCAATATTTTCAATAAGCACAGTCATTGTCAACAACTGGGTGTTATCAATGGTAAGTAAATTTTTTTGATTAAATTCTGGGGATTTTAGATTACTGGAATTGAAATCAGTTCAAAATGATCTCATATGTAACAGTTAAACAGAAAAGAATGGATCAAATATATATACATGTTGTTTTTTTTAGGGGGGGGGTAAACTTTTCTTTTATATACACTTCAATATACAATCACCTGTGGAGAAAGATACTCATTTACTGCAAGTTGTTTCTTTTGTATTATAATGGCTTCCAGAATTTTGAATCTTTCTTTGCAATGAGTCTTTGGTGTTATATATGTATGTTTCTGTGTAATAATTTATTTTTCTTGGTTTATAAGTACACACAACCAACACAAAATGATAACATTTTTTTCTAAAGATATTTTTGTTATTTACTTGAAATTTGAATTCAGCTAACTATAGTTAGTGCCAAAAAAAAAAAGAACTGACAAACCAAATCTAAGTTGCATTCACTTCACACTATTATCCTTAGGATAGATATAAATCCATTTCTTCTCCCTCCAGCTATGGGCTAAATATCAGCATAGACAGAGATCTCTTGAAGGAAAATCAAATTCAAAACCATGAAGGCAACAGGAAAAACACTGTATTATTTTTCTCAAGAAATTGTGGCAAACCAGAAATAAAGGAAACTGAAGAGCCATGATTGCCTACATCCTAAAATTACGTGGCATTTTTTAAAAAAATGGCTTCATCATAAGTTAATAACCAGACTTCTAATACAGATTTAAATAATGTACATTAATATGTTAGGAAAATCATTGACAAAATAGAAAAAAATTTTTGTGCGACACATTTCGCCCTTTAGGATTTCAAAAAGTACTAAAAGACGAAACAAATTATTCTAAGAATTTTTCTACTTTCTGTCTGAATTTCTGGGATGAGGAGTTATTATTTGCACTATTTACTATTGTCTTCACCTTTGTTGTTGTTATCACTACGTTTTGCAGTTGTGTTCCCTTGGCTGTCATCAGGTATATGTCAATTGAGATAACCTTCAAGTAATTTCAAACTGAACCCTTTATTTAATCTACAGGGGTTTGACTTCTCATTCCACTGCCCATAGATAGGATTATATCATCTAATTCTTATTTTTAGTACTGCTCAGTTATTGCTTGCTCCGTTTCCACAGAATCTAAGTACACACGTCCTGTTCCTCAGATTGAACTTACAATTACTACATCACCAAATTCACAAACCAGTTTTAATCCACTAAGCTATTCTCCAGTGTGGAACAATTCTCTGTGGAGAACGTGAAGCCTTAAACTTAACCTGCCTGCTGATGAGTGCTGCTTGTTATGCTTGATTACACTCAATGAAGCTTTTCTCTTTTGTTACAGCTGCTGAAGTATTGTTGTCATTTCTCTTTATTAGTGGTTCCCATATCATATTTATTTCTATGCTAGGCCTACTAAGGAGATCCCCATAGTCTAGCACAGGCATCAGCAACTCATTCGACCCAGCAGGCCGGACGAAGGCCATTAATGAAAAATTAAGGAAAATTACATATGCAGACCCCTGTCAACCTAAATATTTAAAACCATAATGAAAATAAACATTGAGAAATCGGAAAAACAAAAAAAAATCTAAAATTAAAAAACACCTAACAAAAATTACTTTTCCTCAAGGAACGTCAAAATACTTCAAAGTGAAAAAAATCAACCGAAGTGAAATGGATGAAATTATGACATGTAGATTTGAAACTTATTGAAAATTGTTCCACAAATGAACCACACACACACACACACATACATCAAGCAAAAACGAAACACATATACCCATATATACGAGTACAAATAGTTGCAAACATATACACTTACATACGTACATATGCGGTATCATCCACACATTCATGAGGCATGTATGTATAATGCGCGTATGTTTAACTGTCTTTAGATTTCTGCTACCTCGCATGTCAGTCCCTCCCTGGCCTCTTTCACTTTATTGTTCCTTTCGCTTCTGTTACCTTTTAATGTAGCCAAAGGTCATAACAAATATATATCCATTATTTGACATTAAACATAGGCAACACAACTTAGTAAAATAAGTCTCATGAAAGATAACTGGCAGATAGTCTAATATTTTTACTGCACTGAGATGTGTAGACATCCTATGGAAAATGACATATAACAAATTTCATTTGAAGGTCGTCTCTCATGTTAAAAATAGAGTCAATGGTAATCAGGCTTGGGGGCCAGTCAAAATGCCTTCGCGGGCTGGATCCGGCCCGTGGGCCATATGTTGCCAACCCTTGGTCTAGCATATATATAGATTCTTTCAGACAACTCCAGTGTTCTTCCTTGTCCAGTATTTTTTCACTTTGTCACTGATTTTCCTAACCTTGTTCTAGTATGTAAAGATTTATATATCATTTTCTCCCAAACATTAATATATAGATGCTACAAAGTATTGAATTTTTTTTTTTTAACTGTTATGTAGTATTCATTATTGAAAAAGATTAAAACATTGCTTATTAAAAAAAAAAAAGAAAGAAAACAGAGGAAAATCAATCAGACCTTTAGATTTCCTGCCAATTCATTCAGTCTGCCATCAATCACTCCTCCTCGTAAGCTACCATTTTGGTAATACCTTGACTCATAATAATCATCACTTTCACTAGATGTCATCAGTTTACTTGCATCAGCCATGTTTGTTACTTCAACCATTCATCAAGACATGAGTTTCTTTTCTTGTTGAAATTCAAACTGAAAAGAGTGGAGAAAAAGAAAAGCATATAGAACACAATTCATAATAGAGACCATTTTAAAACCTTTTATATTTAGTAAACCAAGTCAGGCACAAGAGAAAAATGGGTGAAGATACAGAGTAGGGAGTTTTTTTTATATACAACTCATTCAAATAGAAGCATCATCAAGATATTGATGTTTCACACTATTTCAAACAAAAAGGTGAGGAAGGAAGCTCCCTCCATGCATTAATGGTGCAAAGAGCAATAACAATTACTGGACTTGAGAAACATTTTCCTGAAAAATTTTTTAAGGGAAAGATCTGATAAATTTCAACCCAAAGTATCACTGGCTGCTTGGTCAATAAATGTCAAATTTTTCCATATAAGGAAACAACTAATGTTCCCATATAAAGAAACGACTAATATTGCCATTACCGGACTTGAATAACTTAACTTGAAATTAAACAGATTCATAAGTAATTTCTGTTTTTGTAATGACTAATGTATCATCCTAAATGTATCAGAAAATATGGCAAAAAATGTCACATGTAACATTGTTCAATGCAAAAGCTTTACAACCAAACCTAAAAGCTGAGTTCCATGGAAGAAAAATAAAGTTGTGCATTTGGTGTTTTTTTTTTTTTTAGAGTATTATTCATTTAGAGTTCTTAAAATGTTATGAAACACAAAATACATATTTATATACCCAAGCTGTTTCAATGTGTCCATAAAATTTTAGCTGAAATGTGACCTTTACTAGTCAATAAGAAAAATGTACTTATAACATATAGGATACGGGTTTGATTCCTGTCGGAGGATGAATATTTTCTATGAAAATTTCTCGGATATTCAGGCCAGTAAATGTTATAAATACTGTTTATTATAAAACAGAGCATTTACTTAAATATTTGTATCTATAAAAAGAATGTATAAACATAAAAACGTCTTAAAATAATTGTCAGACTTTGTCCATTTCATAATGTGTGACGTCATTTGTTTATATTTGGATATGCTTTTAGCAGATATGAATGTACGCGAGAGATTCATGGAAGATTGAAGTTTAAAGGCAGTAAATTTGACCTTGCTAATCATACGATCATCTGTGGCTCAATCAGTTAAGAGCACGTCGGGCTAAATGACGGTTCCGTATAGGATACAGGTTCGATTCCTGTCAGAAGTCCCAATCATAAGGGGGTAAAAGGAGCTCTGGTAAGCCATGGTAAAAGCAACACATCTAGGAAAAGGAAGTCTCTGATACAAAAAAAAAAAAAAACCACCCAGTGAATGACCATTTCCCACATCCAGTTAGTCTGCAGTTTGGTCTGTTGCTGGCTATCTTGCCTCTGCTTGATGGTGGATCTCAACTTTTTGAACTAAGAGAGGAACTTAGTTGTTGTACAAAGGTATGCATCTATATTAACCATCTATGTACAGATATTCCTTCAGACAGTGACATCTGAATATTCCCAGAAGTCCTGAGGTGATGGAAAGTGGTGACATATGTAAGCTTGACAGTCTGGAATCACGTAGTTACTGATCTGCATGTAGGCGACATAAGGCTTATCCTAACATCATTTCTCACAACAATACATTGGCAGTTGTGTATTTGGAGGAGCCTTTTGTGAATGAGCAGCCTTTTACAGAATAGCACTGATTACTCAATTAATTTGGGAGAGGACAAGAAAATGCGTCCTAAACAAAGCTGCCTTAATCTGCTGGTTAGCCTTTTGTATCACAGGAAGAAGAGATACTATGCAAAACGACACTCACTTCAGCTCTGTGGCTGGAATGTGAGAACACTTATTGACAATGGGAAAAGACTTGAATACAAGACCGCCATTCTAGCCAAGGAATTGCAGGAGTTACAATGTAGACATTGCTGTCCTTTCTGAAACCCATTTTGCTGGTGAAGATCAACTTGTTGAGCATGATACAAACTACACTATCTTCTGGTGTGGTAAATCTGAAAAAGAGAAGCAAGAGGCTGGTGTGGGCTTTGCCGTTAAGAATTCTTAAGTTGACAAGATTGAACAGCCTGTTGACATTAATGACCGTATCATGACACTGAGAATTCCTCTTACAGCTGGTTGATACATGACAGTTCTATTTGTCTATGCACCAACTCGTTTCACCTGAAGATGACATTACATCCTTCTACCATACACTCAGATCCATTATCACCAGTATACCAAGTGCTGAGAGTTAAGTAATCATTGGTGATTTGAATGCATGGGTCAACTCAGACACTGAAACTTGGTCTCCTATAGGTCCTGGGAACATTCAGATGCCACTGTCTGAACAAGTATCTGTACATAGATGGTTAATATAGGTTCCAATTTGAACAATTTATTGCTCCTTCAGCTCTGTACAGAATTAAATCTAGTTATCATCAACACATTCTCCACCAAAAGAACAAGGCAATTTGATTCCATCCTCAGTCTAAGCATGGTCATGTACTTGATTAGTATGCATGCGCCAAATCAAAAACAAATGGCGGTCTGATCTATCGAAAGAGATACAAACATCTTATGACAAGATATCAAGGCGTTTTATGGTCTGCTCCATCAGGCATATGGTCCAAAATCTTCCTCAATTATATCACTCCTGGCAAAGGACAGAACCACCTTATTGAAGACTTCAGATGAAATTATGGACCATTGGTATGAACATTTTTGAGATCTCTTTCACAATCCTTCCAATGTGAATATTGCTGCAATAGATAGTCCCTCAGTTTGCCCTTCAGCCTGAACTTGACATGGAACCAACTCTTGAAGAAACAATTGCTTGTATAGAATAAATCAACTTAAAGAAAGCTCCTGGAATAGGCAGTATGAATGTCCATTGTGCGGTCCACTCTTTAATGTCTATATGGAAGGGTAACAGAGCTGCTCAAGACTGGATAGGTGCCATTCTGATTATACTGTACAAAAGAAATCAGACTGTGGTAATTACCATGGTATTTCACTGCCAGAAGCAGTTGGAAAAGTGTTTGCAAGACCTGCTAAACCAATTGGAGAAGTATTTGTCCTGATGTCCTTCCCAAGTCCCAACCTGGTTTTAGAGGCGGAAGAGGAACTATAGACATGATATTCTCTGCTAAACAGCATGTAGAAAAATGTACTGAACAGTGTGTGCCACTTTGTCAGGTTTTGTTGACCTAAGGCTTTTGACACAGTGAATTGTGAGGCTCTCTGGAAGGTGCTCAGAAAATTTGGTTGTACACCTGCAACTACATCGCTGTATGAAAGGTCATGTCAATTTCAATGGTCAGCTCTGGGAGGAACTTCCTATCAATAATGGAGTAAATCAGAGTGATATACCTGCACCAACATTGTTCCCACTTTACTTGACAGCTGTACTCTGGTATGCCTTCCATGACTGTGATACAGGTGTCTATATCAGATTCTGAACAACTGAAAAAGGTTTCAACTTGAGAAGATTCAAAGCCAAAACCCTCATGAGTGATGGATTTGTTAGGGAGCTTCTATATGCCGACTTAAGTTGCACACTTTCCGGGGGAAATGCAGTCATTGATGCTTATACTTGCTTTGGACTAATAATCAGTATTAAGAAAACCAAGGTCATGTGCACTCCTGTTTGTCGATCTTTACGTGGAACCTGACATCTTTGTCTATGGGAAGCATCTTGAAGTCGTCAAAGAGTTTGTCTACCTCAGTAGTAGATTATCTAATGATGGTTCCCTTGATGCAGAAATCAAGCAGAGAATAAGCAAAGCGTCTGGGTCCTTTCCTTTGGTAAACTAAAAGACAGAGTCTGGTTGGATAGTGATCTAACTATGGCAACTAAAATGTCTGTGTATCAAATGTGTGTTGTCAACCTTGCTCTATGCCTCTGAAACCTGGACTTTGTATCAATCTCATATAAAACAAATTGAAAGATTGCATCAACACTGTCTCAGACATATTCTTGGTCTGAAGTGGGACAGTTGTGTTCCAGACACAGGAGTCTTGACCAAAGCCAAAACAGTGAGCATTGCTACAATTGTGGTTAGGAACCAGATGCATTTGGCTGGTCATCTTGTTTGGCTTGGGGATTCCAGACTTTCAAAATTGCTGTTTTATGGGGAGCTTCTTTCTGTGAAGAGACACCCCCCCCCCCAGCACAAGCCAAAAAACGGTTTTGAAATAGTGTCAAAGAGAGTTTAGCATACTTTGGTGTTCCCAAAGTATGCTAAGCTGTTGATATGTGGGAGTCCCTAGCATCCAATCATGACCAATGCTGAACTTTTTGAAGCAGCCAGAGAAGACCGGGCAAAGCTCAAGAGAGCATGCAGAAAAGGGGAACCTTTGCTGGCCAATTGTGGATTTGTAGATCTTCTCCAAGATGTGCAAGACACTGGCAGGACTGAAGAGTCATCAACGGGCTCATAGACAGTCAATCAATGAAGGAGTGGTAATCGCCTGACAAGATGTCACAATCAACACATATTTGTGCATAGTGTCTCTGTCTTGGTATGTATATGTGTGGTGCAAATCGACCCCACCAATCTCATTTTTTTTCCCTTTCAGCTGAAAGGAGCAGACAAGACTCTAAAATTCTCTTGTACTGCTAACTCCTGAGGGTCTTTTCACTAGGTTTTAAGAAACCAGTTCCATGAAAAGAAAATATCCCCAGAACATTATACTGAACGGATGCTTAACAGTACTTACTGCTAAATTCAAAGAGCTTTCAAAGCTTCTTCTTCGGATTTTAGATTGCTTATCCTTTGAATTTAGCTCAACTTTCGTTTCATCAGAGAAGAGAACATTTAGTAAAAAAAAAATCAGGTGAGTCACTTTTATCGAACAGCACTGTATGTATGTGGGTGTGTGTGTGTATATATGTGTGTGTGTGTTTATACAGGTCAGTGCCAATAAACCACGGTAGTTGGGGTCCAAAACCTCTATTCGTGGTTTAGATGGTCGACGGTTTAGGTCAAATGTGAGCTGTGATGTCAGG